TAGTAACAAGTGCCTTACTAGTAGTAACAAGAAGCTAGTAGTAACAACGAAAGCATTTGTTGTCAGCGTTGCCCTGCTTTGGTTCCCCACTCCTCCGGGGTCAGTTCTGCTTGTGGAACGTCCTTAGTTGCTCCGTTGCTTCGTGTTCATCTTACTTATTAATCTTACGTTGTTTCTCTTATTTGCTCCGAAGCCGAAGTAGAGACTTCCTCGCTTCGAAAGGAATTTCGTGACGCGATCGAAGCGTAGAATGGAGATTTCCGTCTTCCGCTCGCATTCCTTTCGCTTCTTCGCCTCCAAGTCGACGTCACCCTCCTCCTGAAACCACAGAAAATGGTGGATTTCGCACCTCAAATCTGTCAAATGCGCAATTTTCCTCACGCACCGTCCTCTTCTTCAAAGTTTTCTCCTTTCATCTCAGCCTAAACGAAACGCTTTCGCGGACGATCCACGCTTCAAATGATCCGACTTTCCGAACCCGCTGATCACGAACTAAGCTCAGTATTGAAGATTCGAGCGCAAACGCAGCGAGCACAAGGCCACCAAACCCAAAGAGTTGCAGAAAAGTTGCAGTTGCAGAAATTGAACAGGAGCAAAAACAGTCGGCGAAGAAACTCGACCCACAGACACCAAACAGCTACACAACGAGTTCGGCAAGAAAGAACCTATCGGCCAATCCAACGCAAGTAGAAAATGACAAATGGCAAAGGACACGACGAGGACGAGCCATCGCTATTAGGTTGGAGGCCGTAGCTATTAGGTTGGAGGCCGTAGCTATTAGATCAGGGGCTATAGTTATTAGGTTGGAGGCCGTAGCTATCAGGTTGGGGGCAACAGTTATTGGAGGCCATAGCTAGTAGGTTGGAAGCCATAGCAGGTAGGTTGGAGGCCGTAGCTATGAATGATGGACGTTGATAAGTAAACCGGTCTTCAATAATGTTACTTTTTCCAAATTATTCCAGACCCCATGTTTGAAAAAGCGGTCATGAATAATGCTAATGTTTTGGTGCGTTGCTGATCCCGAAAGCATTGCGAAGGGTTCTTCCGGAAAATCCCTTGAACACTGACACTTTGGTACTTACACTTACACACTGACACTTCCACCACACTTGCACTACAACATGAACGCTATACGTATCCCAGTGTAAGTGGAAAAGCGAAAGCATCCAAGTGCAAAGTATGCAAGTGTCAAAGTATGCAAGTGTTGCAAGTGTAATGATGCAAGTGCAATGATGAGTATGCAAGCGTGCAATGAGTAGGCAAGTGTGAGCATGGAAAACTAGCACGGGAGATGTCCTAATGAAAAAACATTTCCCCACTTTACAAATTCTCTCTTGAAGGCGGAGGGTGGGACGAACAGCGTCAACCGAAAATGTAACCCTCTGCGGAGATCGTGCGTGTCGAGTGCGCGAAATGCAGGCGAGAGTGCGATTCGTCCGGTCCGCGCGCAACCCTCTGCGGAGATCGTGCGTGTCGAGTGCGCGAAATGCAGGCGAGAGTGCGATTTGCGCGGTGCGCGCGCAACCCTCTGCGGAGATCGCGCGCGTCGAGTGCGCGAAATGCAGGCGAGAGTGCGATTTGCCGGCTGCCCGCACAACCCTCTGCGGAGATCGTGCGTGTCGAGTGCGCGAAATGCAGGCGAGCGTGCGAGGAGCAACCTGTGGAGCTGGAAGCTGAGAAGCGACTTTGTAGTACAACTTGAGTACGTGGAGTAGCTGTGGAGCTGGAAGCTGATCGAGAACTGGCGAGTTTCTAGTACAACTTTAGTACGCGGAGCAATCTGTGGAGCTGGAAGCTGAGAACTGGCGACTTTGTCGTACAACTTTAGTACGCGGAGTAGCTGGGGAGCTGGAAGATGAGAACTGGCGACTTGGTAGTACAACTGTATACGGAGCAAACTGTGGAGCTGGAAGCTGAGAACTGGCGACTTTGTAGTACAACTTTAGTACGCGGAGTAGCTGGGGAGCTGGAAGACTTGCTTTTATATAGTGGTATTTTTGTATTTTTGTTTGGCCGTTTTTCCCTCAAAACTAAAAAAGTCAATTTGGATGCAAAATCAATTTTCAATTATCGTTTACCTTTGAAGAAATGTGTTCATGTCATGCTTCACCTAAGCAGCAGCGCACAGAGGCAAAACAAGTAACACACGCTAGATATTAATAATCTATCATTCACGGCGCCGTTTTTGGAATGTGGTTGCTGTTTCAAAGCTCTAACTTTTCAATGAGCACCTCAAACTCGTTTGAGCCTTCCACATTCCTCGTCTACGCGCAAGAAAGTTATTTTTCACATTTAGTGAAGATATTTGGCTTGCTCGTTGCTCCTTTGGGCCATTAATCTCACCTAGTGTAACTTCAGGGTGCGTCGTCCCAGGTGCCCAGGCCTTTGGCTGCTGCGGCCAAGGCCTGTGCACTTGTCATGACGCTATGTGAGAAGGATTCTGCATACAAGAAATGGAAGCGCTTAGGCGACAAGTGGACTCATGAGTTTCTGCTTTGAGCCCACATGATCCTGAAGGTGGGTCATGGCTGTCAGACCAAGAGCAACCGTGGGGCATTGGTCGCAAAGCGTGCAGCTTCAGCAAATGCAGCAGTAAGTTCGCCATGTATGCTGTCAGAGAGGCAGGCTCCCTGCAGCATGAGAACTTAAAAAAACATGCGCGTACCAAGGCTCGCAAACTCTCAATGGGTGGCACTACGCTTGGCTGCTTGGCTTCCTGGCTGATGCGGCCAGAAGCCATTTTGGCAGTGAGTCGACTAAGGTCAGCTTCCTGGCTGATGCGGCCAGAAACTTTTTTAGCAGTGAGTCAACTAAGGTCAGCTATGGGGAAAACAATCCAAGTTTTGCACCAAAGCCCTGGTTTTCCTAACTTCAGTCGGCAAGGGACTCATTTGCGACACCAAATCGGACTCATTTGCGACACCACCACCCCCCTGTATTCCTCTCATGTGCGACACCAAATCTCTCTCATTCGCGACACAGACACATGCACACATATGATTGCAAGCATTAGGTTGGGTGGGACATTAGGTTGGGGTGGGGTGGGGTGGGGCATTAGGTTGGGTGGGGGGGTGGGGTGGGGTGGGGCATTAGGTTGGGTGGGGGGGGTGGGGGGGGTTTAGGGGTGGGGTGGGACATTAGGTTGTTGGGCTTCAGAGTTTAGAGTGGCATTTGGTGGAATTGGTGTGGAGCTGGATTGGAGCTTTATGACTTTATGAGAACCAAGCAAGGGCCCAGAAGCACACAGATTCTCTAAAAGAAAAGCTCTCCGCGTCACAACTGAGAAAAGCTCTCCGCGTCACATTCGAGACAAAAAAACGCGTCACAACCGAGACCCTTTCCCTTCAGTCAAGTCGTCATCCGTGTCCAGCTCGGTATAGTGTTTGCTTTCAGCTTGGGGCTCAAATTTGAGGCTAAGTAGTTAACACTTGAAAGAGTTCAATGGCTAGCTCCTTTGCAGCGCTCATGCCTGTGACAAGTCGCGCTGAGAAAAGTTCACACGAAGAAACTCAGTTTCTGCACTTTGCAACCATGGAGCCGTCAGAGGTTGCTTCTGGCTTTTCCTTTGTTCCAAGTCCTTGACCGGGTGGAACGCACAAGAAATGCCCTACTCTGGACTTGGCAACAATTGCCTGAAGAAGCAGCGGATGCGTTGGAAGACATTGTTTTTGCTTTGGATATTTGCACCGCAATCGCGTTGTCCGACCTTCACTCGCGACCAAAGCACAGAATCATGACTGCTCTTCCTGCGCGTGCGCCAGGCAAGACACTGGCGTTGAATAACTATGTCAAAAATGACTTTTGGCACGCTACTGAGGTGATGGCAGCATTGTCACAAAGTCGGGCGACTCACGACCGCTTCGACTGGGACACTATGTTGGAGACGTGGTTTGGGGATTTTGCCTTTGCAGCGCAGATCGCACCTGACTCCCTTTATTTGAAGACTGGCAGCTTCAAAAGTGGGATCGTGTGGCCTAAGGCTGCAGCACGCCCTTCCAAAAAGAGCAGGCTGGGCTAACTTCGTCGCAGCAGCCGTTACTTCCATTGGCTGCTTCGGCCAAGGTTGCAGGTTTTGTTGTAGGCTTGAGGTTAAGTCACTGGCTGCTTCGGCCGGGGCTTACTAATTAAAAAACCTGAGAAATTTGGAAGCGGGCAAGGCACGAGCTGACTTCTCAGCTCGAAGGTGAAAAAATCGACGACAGTGCTTGAAAGGAGAGGGCGGTTTGACCTCTCCACCCGAGCTTCGGGAACGTTCTTGAACCTCGAAAGGAGAGGGTTTTGAGAGGGCGAAACAAAAATACCACTATATAATATAGTTTTGCCCATAGTTGTCCCCTCACTGCCCTCTCCACCCGAGGCTCGGGAACGTCGGTTTGCCCTCTCTTCTCAGACTTCAAATTGCTCGTTTGCAGCCGTTTTTCACTCAAGTGAAGCAAGTTTGAAAGCTTTAGCTGCTTCGGCTAAGCTACTCCACAGCGGCCAAGACTCCATTACGTTGGCGGCTCAATAGGTGACCTCATTCAGGGCGTGGCCCTTCCTAAGCTCACTGATGAATGGAGCATGAAGTGGTCGGAGAAAAGGATCTGTATGGCAAGCGCCACTTGATCGCGGTGGGCGGGCGCACAGAAGGTGGAGAGGATGAGCCAAAAATCAACGACCGAACCAAAGATTTGCCCGAGCTTGTTTGCTACTTCTCGCCACCGCTTGAGCTGATGGAGGAGCTCCTGCACACCTTCTATGCCAAGCTGGTGCTGGACTTGAGCCCAGCTGATGGAAAGTTGGCGTGGGCATGCGTCAAGACTAGGACTGCGTACATGGGCATCTGCTACATTGACACCCATGTCAAGCTGATGGAAGAACGGCTCCTGGACCTAATGAAGGTGAGCATGAAGGAGACTGCCTCGCAATTGTTCAACAGTGCCTATGCGCAAGCTGTGGGGTCAACGACTTCTTCATCGCAGCCAGCGATCCCGAAGCCCAAGCCACGCCCCAAGCCAAAGGTAAAGTCGGCTCCCAAGCCAAAGCCAGCTCCCAAGCCTAAGGGAAAACCAAAGGCGGAGGCAAAGTCAGAGCCCAAGTCGCAAAAGCCACGTCTCGAGGCAGAGCAGGCAGATGACGACGACAATGAAGAGGAAGAGGCAATCGAGGAGGATGTTTGGGATCCTTTGGACGAGGGGTGAGTGGCCTTTGGCTGCTTCGGCCAGGGCCAACACCGTCTGCTGGCTGCTTCGGCCAGCCCTTTTTGAAACTTGCTGGCGCGGAAAAATTATTAGGTGTCTGGGTCTGGGTTGGTAATTGAGGTCAGTCATGTGTGCTTAAGTTCACAAGTTGCAAGTAAAGGATAATTGAATGTTTTGGCCCAAGGGAAAGCGTCCTTCAAAACGTGACTTTTAGTTGAATTTCACATTGCAATGCTGCGACG